TGAGCTGCGAGAATAAAACATACAGAATGCACACGGATCACAGACGGCCTACAGAGGACATCAACCCGAAGATTGAAAAACCCAATAATTAGTTGCGATCCATGTTTTCAACCCGATGGAGGAGGCTTACATTTCAACACCGCGATGGCGTCCTGGCACAGGAGGTGGAACCTGGTAGGGGCTCTGCAGGTGCACTCGACGCGGCCACCGTTCCCTTCCGTGTCCGGCAGCACGATTGTCACCCTGTTGCCGCACTGGCTCTTGCCGTGCTCCTGAACAAGGTAGGTGCCCAAGCCCATGCTCTTGACGTGCTTGCTGCCGACGAGTGGGGCCAACGCCATGAACCAAAGAAGTAAGGGAAGAAAGCAGACGAAACAGAGTTTGTGCCGTCGACGAAAGAGGTGTCATTCTCTGGTTGTCAGGAGAGCACTACACACAAAACGACAGCCGAAACGGACGAATAAATCATGGACTCAAAAAGAGAGAGACAGCACGGGTGGATCACCCAACCGACGGGGTCGTACTACACCCAACCGACCACGCAGCCGTAGAATTAACGGAGGAAAGAACAAGGAACGCACCAGGCGTGGTTGCCCCGGTACTTACTTAAGACTGACCAACCTCTCGTCCTCCATGAACTTGGCCGCGAATGGAACGAGGATGGCATCGCAGTCTTTCAGTAGTTCGGCATTCGTTGCGAGTTGGTCCGCAGTTTTCTCCACAATCTCGATGTGGAAATGATAATGGTCCATTTCCCGTTTCTGCGAGCAACAAACGTCAACAATGGAAAAGGGACACATCAACGATTCAGACGCTGACGAGTTAAAAAGGAACACAATAAAAAGCTTTTGCCGCACACACTGGTGCGTAGAGAAGGAAATCACAACACACGGACAAGTGGCCGTTGAAGAATCGGGACTGCAGGATTCCTAACAATAATAAAATTGGGTGAGAATGTACATGTGTCCTCACGTTTAGCATGGACCCTGCTGACACGCTGACCAACGGGTGACAAGGGAGGGGCTACGATACTCTCCGGATGGGAAACAGAAATGCACCCATCCACCAAGTATTTTTTATGCGGATGTATAGTAGTGAGGGATGGTACATAGTCGCTTCATCTTGGGTTCTTTCACGTTGGATCGACCCATTGAAGAAAAAGCACCTACGAAAAACCACTTCGATTACCACCAACATTCACGACACAAGATAACATGCATAAATGAGAAGAAGCGATGGAATGTCAACAGAGAACACTCGGAACTACAGTGGTCGGCTGTCGGGGGCTTCACAAAACGCTGGCTCCTGTGTACGCCCACACGGGAACCGACATCTGCCGCTTGACGCTGAGTGAGAGGACATCCTGACGCACCAGCTATGAGATCCAGCGAGAAACGCTCCTCTTGAAGGGTATAGTGCGTCAATTCGGACCTGCAAAAGGCTTTTTTACATATCCATCCCTTTTGTTCACCAACCTGGTGGCCGACCGCGGAAATGGTGGACTCCGCAGAGTTGGAGGTGGACATCTTCAGGTTGACCAGGTTGCTGGGGGTAGCATGGTGTGTCCATTTGTCAAGGTCGTTTTTCATGAGGAGGTTGTAGTTGGCCGGGAAGTCCTTCTTGACTGGCTCAATTGCCTCCTCAAACAGGGCCTTGGTAGGCATCACCGCCGCTCGGTAAACCGCCACTGAATAGGCCTGCGTTGCAGCCCGAAACAGGGAATATTGGTGAGGAGAAACAATAACGAAAGGGGCAAAGAAGAGTTGTGTGTGACCCTGGCTGATGAGCTGAACATGTATCTTCACCGAGAGGTGTGTCTGCTGGCGCCAGAAAAATGGAACGGGCACAGAAAAACAAGTGCTGGGGAGGCGTTCTTGCAATAATTGTTTGACAGGAGGTCCATCACTCACAACGCAATCTGTGGCTCAACAGCCGTCACACATCCATACTCCCACGCACGCAAGATGAGTTACCTTCTCCTACAAGGGTGCAAACGAATGGGCGGGAACTTTTTCTAGCACAGCAAGTCATGAGCGTTTTGTCGGGGGGGCGCGGAGGCGGCCCGAGAGTCGTACATACAGTTTTGGGTCCCTT